TCTCTAGCTTTTTCTCCACCTCGAGCTTCTTTTCAAAACATACGGCTTTATGATCAACCGGAAGCACTTCTGCGCAAACACGCAGATATCTTTATGTTTTCATAAACGTCTTTTTTTTTTTTTTTTCAAATAATGCATTTTAAATGCCACTATAATCACATTTAATGAATGTTAATGCCAATTAAGGCCTTAATTAAAAAATAATAATTTAATGACTTTTAATGATTTTTAATGACCTGCGGAAACCCTGTTATATCTCTCTCTTCTCCATTCCTTAATCTCTATCTGGCTAAACAGCTGCTCCACTGGGGAGTGTTGATGAGTCAGGCAGTTATTCAAGGGCAAGGTGAGGCAACCTGACCCACCTCTTCTCTGAATCCTGCACCGCTGCACTTTATACATTATACCAATGCTAGTACCACTAATAAGTACTTCGTGTCTATGAAATAGTATTTTGTGCTTACGTAGCATGTCTGCATAGGTAGTTATTTGCTTACTTTAAGCATGCAGTGTATTGGATGACACAAATAACAAGATCCTGATCAGCAATAAACAAAGTGTATTGTATTAAAACCGCATAAACTGTCATTTAGAGCATTCCACAGTTTATTTAAAACTTGAACTTGCACTTAAACTTTGTAGTGCAATGAAAATTACTCTTTTCTCAGATATACTTTACATACAGTTCGCTCTTTTTCCCAGTTTGTGATGTGCAGACCTATTCCTATTTTTCCAGTGGCAGGTTAGAGGTCAAAATCTCCATTTCAGTAAACTTTAAACCCAACAGGAACCTGTATAAACTGTCGCAGGCCACCTATGAGACAAATCAAAGCTTCAGGAGCATCTGAGCAGTTAATCAGAGAACCCTCCAAAGTTTTACTGCAGGTTACATCACATTATACATGTAGAATTTTTGTCACTTTACATTTTTGAACAAGATAGGATTATAGGACCTTTGTTGGTACTTAAACCACATTAAAAAGCAGCCTCCTGTCAATTTCCCCTTTTTACATCACTATTATTGAGTTGACATGAGATCCACCAGCACAGCGGCAGTTGCACTGACATGCTGTAACTGCACTTTAGTGAAGAAAAAATAAAATATAATGACCTACTACCCAGAAAATTTGTTTCCTGGAGTTACATCATGACTCTAGGGTACATCATCAGCAAGTCACCAAAAAGTGCACAGTGTGAGGAGGCGGTGGGGTTGGGTTGTGGGTTAACACAAATGAAATGATAAAATTTGTCTGCTCTGAAAAAAAAATGCAGCTGTGAAAAATTAAGACATTAAAATATTAAACATTGCTGCCTATGCCTTCAGTAAACAACATAGCATTAGATCTTTGCTGTTATCATCTTTTTCCCTTTGTAAAGCAGCTAAGGTGGATTTTATGGCTATTTACCTCTTCTGAAGGAACTAACCAATTCAAATTTAGTTTAACAACTGACCCGAAATCAAACCGGTAGGCCTCATTACACAGTATAAATACAAAGTGAGTTTACACCATCGACGCCACGCTTGTTGGTGAATTAAGAACTGAGGTGGGTACACAAACAACTAGTGCAATCAATGACAGCTTTCTAATTAAAAGAGTGAACCAGAGCTGATAACTTCCATTTGGATGCAAAGTAATTTTCCCTTGACTAAAATAAAAGGCATCTGTGAAAACTGTATACAGATTAAGTGAGAAAGGGAAAACAAAAGGCGTTTTGGTGCGATAGGTTTTAGATAACAACATCCTGCAGTATGTGCTAAAGTTTGTCTATCACTCTCCAACAACATATTTATAAGGAAAGATTAATCTTTCTTTCTTTTATAATCTCTAATTTCCTCTTTTATTTACCCTTTTTCAGTCCTGTGCTTCCAACATAATCTATAAGTAATAACTTTGAAAATCTTAAGGGTTTATCTGCATCAACATTTTTATTAGCAAACATTTACTGTCGTACGTCCAACTATCACACACACATTGGGTAAAACAAATTGAGACATTTAAAAGCTG